TGTTTGTAATATGATTAAAAGATTTATCCTTAAACTTTGAAGAAGCTTAGCAGGTTAAAGTTTCATTGTTGTTATTTTTTGTAAGTTTCTTGACACCATGGAAATTCCTGATGACTGGAAGATTGCCAACATGATCCTTATTTTTAGAAAGAAATAGTATTGGAATCTGTTGTCAGAAGTCCTTTAATCAACCATTTTCAACATGGGTTTGTTAGTTGCTTTTTTTTCTTCAAAGTCTTCTGATTTTTTTAACATAACCTAAGGTACATATAACAAAAGATCATTTGGTCCTTCAAGGCTGTCTTCACAAACCTCCCTTAAGAAAAATAAATATAAAAATTTTAAACCAACTTTTATTTTCAAAAATTCATCAATTCCCCTCTTAAAATCTTGTATGATTGTGGCCTCTATTACTGCTGATAGCAGCTCATTCCATAAGCTAAATATTCTATTAGAAAAATAAAAACATTTTAACCTAGTCTGTCCTTTTCTAAATCTTAAACTTGTGTCCTATTGTTCCAGTATCAGAATACACTTTGAAATCTGCTGTCAGAAGTCATTTAACAATACATTTGGAAGACTGGTATTTAATTAACCATTATCAGCATGAAACTTTAATAAGATTAGAGCTGGGTAATTAAATTGATTACCTACAAGCAACAATTATTTTAGTTATTGTCTTGTAAAATAACTGGTCGATTGAAATTAGGATTAAAACGAGTTAATGTCACAAAAATAATAAACTGATCAAAATTAGCATTTACAATCATTACTCTTTGATTATTCCAATGATCCAGTAAATGAAATATTAACAATGTTTTCATTATTATTTCAATTAATTCAAATTTGCTTAGCTTAATCAATCAGCATTTGTGACTCATGAAAATAATAAACTAATTGAAATTAGAGTTTCGAATTATTCCAACTATACAAGTAATTGGAAATCTATCATTAAGTTTACTACATAATGAGCTATCCATGTTTTTCCCACCATAGGTATCAAAACCAATTCTTAGAGTTACAAATTGTTTTTTATACTTAACTATGGCCATCATGTACCCATTTTTTTTTACTTCAACAAATATAATTACCAAATGGTTGAATATAATCGATAAATGAGCCCACCGATTTAATAATTAGCAAATTCCACTAATTGCTCAGCTCTAAATAAGATCACTTCTTAGCCTTCTTTTCTCAAGAGAAAGCACGTTAAGAGATATTTTAACCTATCTCCATAGAAAAAAATAATACTTCATTCACAAAATCATCCTATTAGCCTTCCCATGAACCCTTTCTATTAAGTCATATGTTGTTTTATAGGTAAGGAGGCTAAAATATACATAGTACTCCAAGTAAGGCCTAATCGGTGATTTGAATCAATCAATACCTCTTTTGATTTGCAATCAATACCTATACAAAGACATCCTAAAATTATTTTAGCTTTACTACAAGTAACAAAGAACTGTTTCACTGGCTTGAGTGACTAATCTACCACCATGCTAAGTGTGTCTTCCCATCTACATCAATTTTGTGATTCAAATCTTAAGTGCCCAAATACATTCATTACCTTGCACTTATTGTAACTAAAGGCCATTTACCAAGAGTATTCCAACTTTGCAATCAATCCAAGCCATTTAGTAGCATCTC